AAAGACACTGTGAGTCTTGTTTTAGGAGGACAACATGGCAACACCGTAAATAATAGCACAGTGTTACCTGCAGAGCGTGTACAGCCGGGTCGAGCAAAACTGTGTCTGTTGCTATACAGGCCAGTGTAATAAAATTAGATCTGGCAGGAAAAAAAAAATAGCCAGGTCCCCCTCCCATCTGCCCCCGCAGGATGCACATGACACAGGCAGATTTAAAAGCAAACCACCCCCACGAATGACTGACAAAACCTGACTTTTGAAAGAGCAGGGGGAGCCGGGTGTTTTACCAGGGTTGATGTTGCAAGGATTTTTCATAGCAATGTTTCTCCAAATTAAGTTTTTTTAAAGATATATATATCTATATAATATTACATACATTTTGGGGGATTCATGGAAACTAATCAGCCTACGTAGGATTCGTGGTAATCGCTCTAATTAAAAGGCATCCGAGCAGAGTATGTAGGTCATAGCGGTATAATGCCCGGTGCTGGGGCTCTGCGAAACGGCTTCTCGCAAGGGGATTTGGAGGTCGTGGGGCACGAACAGCGGAGCATGTGCTGCCTGAGAAGGTTAATGTGCTCCCGGGGTGCTAATCCTGCTACGGATGGGAGTAGGGCCGGGAAGGGAGCAGGGAAGAGAGCCCATGGATGGGGCCGAGCTCCGCAGATGCCTCTGCTTCATGGCGGAGGCTCTGTGAGGCTGCTGGGATGATCCATGTTTGTCCAGGAGGTTGAAGAAGGCGACGTTGTGCACTGGTTGTTCCCACAAAGATGATTCTACACAAGGGAAAAACCTTAAATTCAGAATGGAAAGAACAGCGGATTTTTTGCTGGGGGGAAAAAGCTGACACCTGGGAAGTGTTTACCTGGGCGGTGGTCATTTCTCCATCGTTGAAGCGATGGGGACACACAAGTGCATCAGCCCATGCCCTCCCCCTGACTGTAAGTCTCGCCCAGCCACAAGAATCACGAGGAAGGGGTGTCCCCGGCCAGGAGCAGGGGTAGCTGAAAGCAGCTGCTCCAGCGACCGTCCCTGAGGCCTTGGAGATGGGAGAGAGCAGCGCGGATTCCCGATCCCATCGCTTCCCAGCCCTGCGCTTCCAAACTGTCCTCCCGCCCGGAGCTCCGTGCTGGAGGCAGCGCAGACAATCCGCAGGGCTCGTTTAAGGCTCGCTCCGAGTAATCCTCTTGTCATCCCGCATGATCCTCCCCTCCTCCTCCTCCTGCAAATGCCACCGGAGACTGGCAAGTGTGAGAACAGCCAGGCCTCTCCTGAGAGCGGGTTTTTATTTATCTCTCTCATCTGATCCTGCACAGCAGAGCCCCTTTCCCCAGCACCAAGGGGAAGCACCGGCAGGCGGACGGGCTGAGCCTGGATGTAATAACAAGGCTGGAATTTGGATTTTGCGAGTATTTTCACAGCCTGTTTCTCAGCAATCCCTGAAACGAGCCTGTTTGGCCCACAGCTCTGCTGTGTCTCACTGCCTGATGCAGATGTTTTCAAGGCAGCTTGTGTAAGTGTGTGATCCCAGTGACAGCAGAGGATCTTTCTCTGAGAGCAGCCTGGACAGCCCTCAAATACATAGCTGCAAAAATAAAGAGAAGAAACATTCACCATGTGCATGAGAGAAACTACAGCCTTCCAGTGCCTGGAAACACTTCCCTGGACTGCCAACAGCCCTGCCTGGAAAGCTGCACCCGCTACCTCGGTATTCCCGAGGTCTGCAGGAGCAACCCGTGGGGAGCAGAGCCTGCATTAGGGATTGCTGCCGCCTCATGGGCCCTTTGCCTTCCTACCTGTATTTCCTCATCACACTGGAAGCGCTTGTAGCGAACAGCAGGCTCCGTGATGCAAAGGAGAGGAAAGTGTTCAAGAAAATTTGCACCTGGGAAAAAAGCCAAGAGTAGGAGCCATATTGCAGGACGTGAGGACACTTTCCACTTCAGCCCTGCCTCAGATGATGCTTGCTGGGGTCTCCTGCAGCTAGACCCTTTGCAATCACCAAATGCTTTTTATGAAGAAATAGCCAGTGAGCTTCCCCAGAGCATTAATACTGATTTTCCAAAACCAGCTAGACTGATGGTTGCCTAAATTGCTCAGTTCGAGGGGACTGAAGGAAAACAAATCTGCCCAGCATTCAAACGGGAAGAGCAGGAGCAAGGAAGCTCAGGCTCTCAACCAGAAACTAATGAGCCAAAATGGGAGCTGCTTGAAAAGGAGAAAATATCCATGCTGATAAGTATATGGATGTGTGGTAAATGCTTTGCTTTTGCCCGGCCAGGATATATCGCACTGTCTTCCATGAAGCCTCCCCGTGACAATTTTGTGAAGAAACTAAAAAGGAACACTATTTAAATAATCTAGAGGAAAAAGTGGCTTAGTGCTGCAAATAGCTCTGCAAAGAGGGATTCATCAATAAACCTGTTTATGAGTTCCTCAAGGAGCAGTTCCCAACCTGAAACTAAACAAAACTGAGTTTGGGGGAAGGAGAAAGAGCGATGCAGCCTGGTAGCACCTCCAGGTAAACTGGGAATGGAGAGTGTTTCCATGCAACTGGAAACCAAACTGCAGTTTTTCCTGTCCTGTAACTGATCTTTTTGACCTACCCATCTAGTTTTTACATTCTTCTGTAGGTTAGCTAAATGGAGAGTGTAGAGTGAGAAGATGGCAAGACACCCTTCATCCGGCTACTTTGGGGATCCAGGGAACTGCATGAGAAACTTGCAGGTGTTTTTCCACTCCTTCCTTCTCCGCATTAATCCTTAATAACTCTTTGTAGCAGGTGCCAAAGCGTAGCACGTCCTGTGGCTCCGTAATCCAAAACCTCCTGCCCTCCGCGTGGGCAGCCCGGCCGGCCGCTCCTGTGCCCTGGGAGACAACTGTCCCGAGCAGACCCAGCTCGTGCTGCTTCTCCAGAGCTCTCCTCATCAAACCTGCAAGATAATTCCAATAACATTCGACATATATTTATATATATCTCCCAGTTATACCACGCTGTCACACCCCAGTGCTCACCCGATAATTATAGTTCCCCAATGGTGCAACGCGCTTACCTCTGTCTCTCTCTCACACACAAAAGCTGTATCTAACTCCAGTGAATAATGAATTGATGTGATAATGCCAATGTAAGTGGATCTTCTCTAGTTACACCAGCTGCTAAATAAGAAAGGACTTTGTGAATTAGTTTGTGCATTACCCACCTTGCTTGAATGCTTGAATGCTGTAAGGAAAAAATGAGAGTGAAGATGCTGGAGACGAATCGCTGAAGCTGACACTGGTTCTGACTGTGAACATCCGAAAATAATTTTCAGGAAGCTTAAAGAATTAACCGTCCCTCCTCTGCAAAGGCCTGGGGCAAGCAGAGCACTAACGTAGCTCTTGGAGCTGCGTTCTGCAGAGCCCCCTTCTTAATGCTGGGTATGCGGATGGGCCCGTCCTCGTGGGTGGCACTGTGAGCCCCGCCGCACCGCGGCCTCCTGGGACTGCACACATAAAAGCATGAACATCTCTACCATTTAGATACAGACTGAATTTTCCCAGTGCTGAAGCAACACCAGTGTAAACCTCACTCACTGAGCCCAAATACTGCAGAATAAATAAGGAAGTTTCGTGCTGACAGGTGTTTTATAGCACCTGACTCACTGAAACCTCTCGAGCAAAGAGGTTGACTCAGGTGTATTACAGAGCTGGGGCCTGTTCTCAGCTGTCCACACTGACCTTGTTCCCTGTGAACAGAATCCATCCTTCAGTGCAGCAACCAAAGCGCTTGATTTAGAGCCCTGTTCTGACCGTCTCCTAGCAGAGCCTGGGAGGTGCAGGCACAGAAACACAGGGTGCTGCAAGTAGCGCAAGGCACAACACGCGGGGCAGGGGCTCCCGTACCTCTGAGTACACCTGGGTGCTCCTTGAACTTACCTCAGGCTGCTTTGCCTGCAACCTCGACATTTTTTTAACGTATTGAGGTATTTAAATGCATTACTTAAGGGAAAAAAAAATATCAGTGAGAGTGACAGAGCACTGGAACAGGCTGCCCAGAGAGGTTGTGGAGTCTCCTTCTCTGGAGATCTTCCAAACCCGCTTGGACGCAGTCCTGTGCCACGTGCTCTAGGTGACCCTCCGTGTGCAGGGGGCTGGACCAGACGAGCTCTAGAGGTCCCTTCCAACCTTAACGAGTCTGTGGCTCTGTGATTAATGCGCTTGCACGGAGCCAAGGGGCCGGCCATGGCGGCGACAGCCGCGACGAG